ATTTGTGGGTGGCTGTAGAGCCTCATTTTTGTGAACCCGTTGGGCGCAAAAATCGTGCATTGCGCGACCGCGTGCATTGCGCGCACGGACACGGGTACCGTGGCCGTGCGGCCGATGAGCCAGTTCAGCCGATGAGCCACCCCAACGAGATATCAGCGATAGAAAAATGAAGCTGTAGAGCCACACTCAAAAGCTATTATCGCGAGAAAAGTTGGTGTATTGCTATACAGAGCCTTGCACTTCAATTGTGCTATTTATATTTGGCTGGTAACCACGAGTTGCGGCCTCTTGCAGTAATTTTAGGTGGGGGAGACGCAGCTGGCAGTGCAGCGTTAACACAACTTTAAGCAGCCACAACACAACAACACTTTGTTAGATTTTTTGCAGCACTGTGTGAGACTTTTCGCTTACGCTTGTTGAGTGTATTGTGAGATTTTTGAGCAATTGGAGCGTTGTGTTGCTGCTTTTTGAGCGCTTGTTTGGCAGCCAGCACTTCAGCTTGTGCTTTCTTCGCCTTGCGATGCTCCTCAGCAGCACGCTGTCGAGCGAACTTTGCCTCCTCTTGCTACTGCTTTTTGTGAGCTGTTGCTGCCACCTTTGCCTTTCTATCGCGAGATTTTTGGAGTTGTAGCTGCGCGGCTTTATTGAGTTCTGCAGCTTTGCGCGCGCGGTCGCGGGCAAGCTTCCTAGGACTGTAGAAGACAGCGCCTCTGTGCCAGTCGTCGCCGTCTTGTGTAGTCAGTGTTGTCTGCTGCGTTGGGCGCTTCTTAATGACGTTGAGTTTGTGTTGTAGCTCCTCGTTTTGAGTGCGAAGAAGCTCGTTGTTGACCTGTAGCAAGTGGAGGCTCCGCGACAGCCGCTTGGCTTCAATTCTGGCCTTGTCAGCAACTGCAGCGTCAAAAATTTTGCGCAGCTCAGGCCAGCTATCGCCGTCGCCATGCTCTCCAATTTCTGCGTCTTCGTCTTGTTGTGGTGGGCAGTTGTTAAAGCGTTTCAGTACAGCGTCCACATCCATCAGCCACACGCCTGTAGCTTGAAAACTCTTTAATATAAGCTCCAAAGTCATTGTAGCGCTCCACGCTAGCTAAAAGTTGCTGTAGAAGTCAGGTTTCGTGATCCTCGTGAGGCCTTAGGTTTGTTGGAGGTAGTAGGTGAGCTTCTTAGTGTAGTGCCTTGAAAGTGGCGCAAAGAGGACAACATTAAGCAGCTGCAAGCTGTGGGTTGAATAAGGTAGAAAGACTATAAGGAGGATGTGTTTAGCGTTGCAATACTCTAGAAATTCAGGCGTAAGGTAGCTGCTGTGGCTGTCAAGGATTAGAAGCCACTATTAACAGTAAGCTTTAGCTGCTGTATAGCAATTAAACACCTACTAAAGCTAGGCAAGCCCTAAGTTATTGTTTAACCATCCTGTCGCTAAGTAGGAGATAAAAATCTAGTGTTATTTAGTAATAAGGTTGTTAACCTAGGTTAATTAAATCCTAGAGGTGCCCTAGTAGATAAATCATAAGAGTAGGTGGTAATGCCTCTCTAGAAGCGCATATGCAAGCTAGCAGTGTTACCTATTCTCTATTACTATCTCTAAGCGCTGTAGTGCGCCCTTTTAACTCCTAAATTGCCTTAGAGACTATCCTTTTAGTGTAACTGTTAATGCTAATAAAGAAGCCTTTCTTATCTATATTGTATGTGTTACGCTTATTAACGCTGTGCTTACGTATCTTAGAGTGTAATAGATTAAAGTATAGCTTGTACTTGCGCTTGCTGTTAGCTAAAAAGCGCTCATAATCTATCCTAGTGGTCCATTTAGTGGTAAGCTTGTTAGCGTGGCGATGCAGAAACTAAGTAATCCAGCTCTTAGAGACCTCCCACTTTGTAACCACAGAGGCGAAATTTTGCAGCATGCTTCTAGTAGGTGGCAAGCTGTCTCTTGTGCATCTTTCTATGTATTTAACAAGTACCTCCTCCTGTTGTGGGCTAAGTAACTGTCGCTGGCGCGCTTCTTCTGCATTTGAGCATGTATAACAGTGTCAGATAAGAGCGAGCGGCGAGAGGTCGGATCTGCGCAATCGAGCAGGGACCTGTCGTGCAGCCAATCAGCAGTTGCCAGGTCGATTAAGCGAGACCTGGCAACTCCTGATTGGCCCGCACACCGGCGGCCGCGAACAGCGCTAATTCCCCCCCCCCACTTCAATCCTGTAGCAACCAGCACGACGCCACGGCAGAAACACCATCGCCACGATCATCAATATATCATCATACCACCTAAGATCTCATTAAGCACATACTCTGGCTCACAGTACAAGCATCTAACAATTAAGAGTCTTACTGCCACAACTAAACTACTGCAACCTCACTGCCGCAATCGAAATGGCGCAACCAGCGTACCGCGACCCAACAACAGTCCTCAGGGACCAAGCTGACTGGACTGGCTGGCTTGCGCAGCTACAGGCGAGATGCCTGTCGCGCAACATCTAGGACAAGATTAACCTAAAGACAACTACACCACTACTATTAAAGCTACTCTCGCTAAGGGCTCTAACTATTACTAACTATGCGCTAGCTGCAAACACTAACATACTATTAAGGCTAACTAAGCTATTAACAACAGGCTAGAAGGCATTTAAGGAAGACCTTAAGTATTACAAAGTACTCCTTAAATAATACAAGAATAATTAACACAAATATAAGAAGGAGGAAGCAAGCCTTTAGCACATTATTGTGTTTATCTAGTTAACTGTGTTGCTATATCTACTGCGCACATGCTGTCTTCCTAAGAAACCACTGCGACAGTAGATTACAGACCTACAACTTACTGTTAGGGTTAACAAACAAATTAAACAAGAACAAGCCTAAGATAGATACCTCTTAGCACTTAAGCCAATAAGAAGCACGTCATAATGGGATACCTGGCTAGCTAAGTATAACTAGGCAGCTACAGAAGCAGAGACGTACAAAGTCGCCAAATTATCACAATTAAATGTAATAACAAAGGACTTCCTAACAGCTGTGAACAGGGTTGCACCTATGTAGGCTACAAGCTTTCAAGATAGCAGACGCTTTAAATCTAGTATAAGTTAGAAGGAGATAATAAAATACTACTAAGAGCACATAATAATAAATTATCCCCTTAGATTAGGGTGGCACAAGGCCTTTGTGGCTGATAATGCAGTGTTTCTTGCTAAAGGGGGTGCAGCCTCCTAGAGCTATAAAGGGGACGCCTAACATGCTGTAAGCGCGCTATCTAACTAGGGCAGACCTCAATATCAACATACAGCAGGTAGGAAAACTACTACGCTTAAGTAGCCTTTAGATTAAGAGCCTGCTTCTACTAGGGGAGCAAAATGCCCTGCATGTAGACAACGCCACTCTATACAGGATTACTACTATGTTAATTAAGGCAGAGCTCCTAAGTAGTAGAAACTAAATAAGATTATTTCTAAACTTATTAAGTTTAAGTGTAAGAAAGATATTACCTTTTAAGGGCTACTTTGCGCACAAAGCAAGAGCAGATTAAGAACACTAGTAGTAAAGCACTTACACACCCCTACCCTAGAAATCCTAGACAATTAACTAGAAGGCTGAGAAATTACTAACATTAAAGCAGTGCTTAGCACAGCAAACTAACAGGATGCTGCTAACTATCTACTATAGAAGTTGTTTATACTTAACTTAGGTTCTACCTGTTATATTACTAACAACCCTAACTGCGTCTATAGGTTCTAACAGCTATTACCTAGAGACTTTATATAGGCTAGGAATTCTAAGGTGCTAGTTAGAGGATATAGATTAATTAATCTACTCCTAAGGAGTGGAGCTAGGACAACTAAGGTTACCCTTACAGACGTGGCAATTTGCCCAGACCTGCTATGCAACCTAGTGTCCTTCTGCCTACTACAAAATAGAGGTATATAGTAGGACACACAAGCAGACCTAATAACTCTCTAACAAGCAAATAGCTAAGTAATTAGAGTAGTATTAGAAATGCTTAGCTAGTAGGTGCTTAAGTACAAACTATCCCTACTAGCTGCTAACTACACACACAAAATCACCACATGCACTAAGAGAGGACCACAGAAGGCCTTAGCAATATGGTGGCACAAGCAACTTGGTCACCCTGGTCCTGCTGCAATCAAACACATCGTCCAGCAGACTTAGGGGGTGCAGATCTAAGGCATCACTACAGTTAAATGCAACACTTGTGGAATAGCTAAATTGTGACAGCAAATTAGCTGCGCACTAAGAATTAACAATAACAGACCTAGAGAAAGACTTAGCATTAACTTTCACTCCTACAAAGTATAAGGAGTTACTAAAGAAAAGAGCTAGATACTTATTACTAATAGGTTCTTAGGCCTATAGTAGGACCTCTACTTCACAGATTATTGCACAGTAAAGTTAATTATTAAGGCACTATTAATATTTATCCTGTTCTTAAAAAATTACTATAATATCTTAGTTAAGACTATTAAGGCAGATAACAAGATAGCTACAGTTAAACTAGGCGTATTAAAATAGCTAGCAACACAAGGAATTATTGTGGAGCCTTCAGCGCTAGACACATAAGCACAGAATGGTAACGCAGAACGCTTAGGGGGTGTGAACAAGGAGAAAGCTCGCGCAATGCGACTTGATGCCAACCTCTCCTAGGAACTGTGGCCAGAAATCACGAGGGCAGCAGTATACCTCTACAATTAAACGCTGAACTACGCAAACTATTAGAAAATACTATATAAAATATTCTTTACGCAAGTTGCCTTTAGTAATAGAATAGTAATATTACTGTAAAAACCTAACCTTGCGCACCTAAGAGTATATAGGTGCAAAGTATTTACTATAATAGATAATATATATAGAGGTAAATTACGTCTTTAATAACTAGACCTAAAGGCCTAGATTAGCTATCTAGTAGGCTACTAGTTGTTAAACATCTATTAAATCTAGATACTATTACTTAGTAAGGTAATAAGCACTTAAGATATTGTGTTTAACAAAGACACAGTATTTAACAGGAGAATTAAGGACCTTATAGAGAACCTTATACACAACACACTTAAAGAAATAGCAATATATGTGCAATCTATTAAGCTACTAACACCTACCTAGCAACTAGAAACAGATTCCTTTTATAAGGATAAAGCCCTAGTAGAGCTGTTATAACAAGACAAAGCAGACCTGCCAGGCTACTATCACGGATAGAAGATACAGGATAGCTATCCTACCCCTCTATCAACACTGCTACCTGCAGCACTACTTGCAGGCATTATAGCTAGTGATTAAACAACTCTAACGCAACAAGCGTCCTTAACTACTGTCCTGTAGGCAGCATTATTCCTTGCAGGAACCTAAGCTAGACGTGTTAGAACATACAGAGGAGAAGTTATAGACAAGGCTAAGATAATAAGAATGCTTGCTAAAGGCTTAAAGCCCTATTAAAGTTAACTTCTACCTCTGCCTATGTTCTAAACTAAGCTTAAGGATCACCCTATAGGTAAACTCTTTTAAGAAGCTAAGCAAGAGCACCTTACAAGCTACTAAGAAATAAAATTATAGTTAGAAGTACTACTTTAGAAAATTAGACTAACAGGACAACAGATCCTTAACTACATATAGGTATATACCTATAAACTTAATAGACATTATTAACTGCTAAAGTGTAAGGCGCAACTAGTAGTTAGAGGCGATTAACAACGCAATATTACATCACAAGACACCTACGCAGCCACGCTTGCCAGCTAATCCTTTTAAACAATGATGGCTATGGCAGCTCACTATAACATAGAGCTTAAACAATACAACGTTACTAACGCGTTTGTTCATGCTACAATGGACAGAGAGGTCTACATAAGGATGCCACGAGGCTATTAGAAGCCTAGCACAATACTGCAAGTAAACAAGGCACTTTACAGCCTGCGCATCTCTCCCCTCCTCTAGCAGAAGAACTTTACTGCAATACTAAAAGCACTAGGTTTCTAGACTATGCCTTATAAACCCTGCTGTCTAACTAAGGGTAGTATTATTATCTTCTTTTATATTAACAATATTATCCTTGCGTACAATAAATTAAAAGAGCAAGAGGCAATGCAGACAATTAGCCACGTATAGAGTAAGTACACCTGCACAGGAGGGCACAACCTACAGTGGTTCCTTAGTATAGAGATTATACAAGACCAAGCAAGCAAGAAAATCTACCTATCTCAGGCAGCGTACTCAGACAAAATCAGTTGCCTTGCCAAGAACACAACTATACGACATGACACTCCAATAGCAACAACTGAACTACAGTCAAGGAGTAGACTAGCAGCGCTAGCAGAAATTAATAAGTATTAACGCAAAATTAGATCACTGCTGTTCGCTGCAGTCACCACGCAACCTGACATTGCGTTCGCCACATCAAGGCTTGCCAGGTTCCTCACCAATCCAGGCATCAGCCACCAAGATGCTGCGGACCGGGTCCTTCTATATCTACTTAACACTAAACAGCGATCACTGCAGCTTAGAGGAGGCATTAGCCTCTAGGTAGCAAGTGACGCGTCCTTCGCTAACAACACTATAGACAGAAAGAGCTCCTAAGGCTACGCAATTAAACTCTTTAGCAGCCTTATTACATAGAAAGCAAACAAGTAGGACACAGTAATAACATTAATAACTAAGGCTAAGCTTCTCACTCTCACCTAGGTTATAAAAGAAGCACTTTTTATCTTAAGGCTCTTGCGCGAACTACACGTTAATATAGGTGCACACACTATTACAATACAATGCAACAACAAATAAATAATTTAACTAGTCACTAAGGAAGTGTTATAACTACATACTAAACTTTAGCATGTAGATATCTACAACTACTAGCTCTAACAGGAGGTGGCTGCTAGAAAGATTATTATAGAACACGTCTAGTCTGCAAGCATAATAGCAGACAGACTTACAAAGGTACTCCTAGTGAACAAGTAGGAAGGTTTCCTCTAGTAACTTAGTCTAGTAAACAGGGAGTTAACAGAAGTGCTAAACAGCGTGCCTCTAGACAGGATTTAAGAATAAATTAAGGACCTTACACACGCATAAATAGTTAGCTTAAAGAGTTTCTAAGCTAAAGGGGGTGTGTTAGATAAGAGTGAGCAGCAAGAGGTTAGATCTGCGCAATTAAGCAGGGACCTGTCGTGCAGCCAATCAGCAGTTGCTAGGTCGATTAAGCGAGACCTGGCAACTCCTGATTGGCCCGCACACCGGCGGCCGCGAACAGCGCTAATTCCCCCCCCCCCTTCAATCCTGTAGCAACCAGCACGACGCCACGGCAGAAACACTATCGCCACGATCATCAATATATCATCATACCACCTAAGATCTCGTTAAGCACATACTCTGGCTCACAGTACGAGCATCTGACAAACAGTTGTGCTGCTGCAACAGTGTTGTTTAGTTAACTCTAAACATTTTTGCAACTTAGCAGTATAACAAGTTATCTCTAGCTTTATGCAATTCTAAATATTTAATTACTTCTTGAATTAGATCTATGGTGGTGGAGTTGTGACGCGTTGAAGTTGTGGGTATCTCAATGTTGTGATGTTCCGGGTGGCTCATCGGCTGAACTGGCTCATCGGCCGCACGGCCACGGTAGAGCCACATAGGTACCCGTGTCCGTGCGCGTGATGCGCGGATTCGCGTGATGCGCCGAACCACCAAAACAGCTCTATTATCTCAGCTCTACAACAACGCAACGCAATGGGATTAGAAGAAGCGCTTGCAGAGTGTGATACTTTTGTATCTGAAGATGCTATTCCATAGTCTAAAATAGCAGAAAAGCATGGTATTGTGCGGTCAACATTGACGCGCACGTGGAGGGGTGAGACGCGTCCGCACAAAGAGAAGGTTCTTGCACAACAAAAGCTCACCCTATAACAAGAGGAGGAGCTTGTACAATATAAAGAAGAGCTTACTGCTCGTTAGGCTGGCGGAATGGGTATACTCCAACGTCCTTTGTGGGTACCCCCCAAAACTTTGTCAATAATACATGGATTCTAGCGAAATAGGGCTTAAAAGAAAGAGAAAAACTACCTCTATATTTCTGTTGTAGAGGGTTTTGTTATAACTATTAAACTGCACAAGCTAGAGGCTAGAAAAGGTTAAAAAAGGGGGGGTACCTAGCAAGCATACCCATTGATAGGTATACTTTGCTAGGTAGTGTTAACTAATAACTTAGCTAATACTAGGCGGAATGAGCTAATTCTTTTTTTATTAGAAGGCGCAATACTAGGCGCTTCTATTAAATAATAGATTATGTAAGCGTATCTCTGCTAGTTAAGAAGCTATAAGCCAAAACGTAAAAAAGCATACCCTACCCATCCGCCAGCCTACCTCTCTGTAACGGTCTAGACTCTAAAGCTAAAGAAGAGCTAGAGCTAGCCGGTTACATTAGCTTAGCCGGCTTGGCTTAAGCTGGATATATATTATCTACGCAGTTAACTAGGCGTCTAGTTAACTTGTGCATGCTTTTTAGCAAAAGTTGTTAGGAAGTAGATATCCTTTATTGGCCTTTGGCCAGACTACTACACTCTCTGCCTAGTACAAGGAGCTGTCTTTACCTTATAACTAGGTTATTACTGTCTCTAAGAATAGCTAGACTAATAATAAGCTTAGTATTAAGTGGCTGAAGCACTTTAATAAGCACACAAAGGAGCGCACTGTTAGCAGCTATTAGCTGCTTATTCTAGACAGCTATAAGAGCCATAATGTAGTTAGGTTCTACTAGTACTGTAAAGAAAACAAGATTGTTACCTTGTGTATGCCTCCACACTTATTGCACCTGTTGCAGCTGCTTGACGTAGGTTGTTTTGCCCTAATAAAGAAGGCCTATAGTT